CATATTCTTTCCATTTAATTTCCCCCTCATTCATTCATTGTTGCACATTTTCACCATGCCCACCTCTCTCCCCCAGTTCATTTTTCTCTTTGAAAGGAAAAATAAATTCTTTCATTGTTATACAATCCCTGCCCCCGCAAATCCACAGTCCATTTTACTACATATTTCTTTTTCTGGAATCTTATCATGAAAAGAATACCTAATCCTATATTCCCTTTAAACAGTTCTCTCCCTCATCTGTTTCAATGCAGTAAACACTGTTTATCCCCTCTTTTTTTAGGTTCTCCCCCAACCCCAATGTCAGTCCCGTTTTACAACAGTGGCACTATGCAGTATTTGTCCTTTTGTGACTGAGATATTTCAACACAATGTCCTCCAGGGTCACCCATTTTGTATACTATTTCATGAGTTACATTCAAAGTTGAAAGACTGGACACTAGGGTCCAGGTTCTGAACATCTATCTGTAGCTCAGATACCACTACCCACCCTCCAGACAACACACAGGCTGCACTGTTTCTAAGATGGTTATGTGACCTAAGGAAGCATGGGAGATTCCCAAGTAAGGTCACTGTCTTTCCCCAGGACATGAGAGGGGGCCACACCTCAGAAATCCACCTGGAAGTACGGCTGAAGCAGAGCCGGGACATGGTAGTAAGAGCTTCAGTCCTCCCAGGGACCCTTAGAGAGACCAGCTCCCATACCAACAGCCTGTGGCACCTGGGTCAGCCCCTCTCTGCTCTAGCAGAGTTTAAAATGTCACAGGGATCCATCTCCTACAGGGTTATGGATTTAATTGTGTCCTCTAAAATATGTGCTGTGAATCCCAACTAGTTTCTATACCTGCCCATCTAGGCTCATTTGGGAATAGTTTTCTTTGTTACATTCATGAGACCATTGATGCTTTAAGCCAATCACTTTGGGAATATAAAAAAGGACAGGCGAGCACATAAGAAAGCAAGCAAAGGCAGGAGAGATGGCTGCCACCTGGGGATATCCAAGGAACAGAGAATGATTGACAATCTGATGCTAGGTTGCTTCCCAGAGCAAACAGAGAGCCTTCCCCCACACTGGCGCACTGAACTGAGTGAGACTTGTAGCCATAAAAGTGTGAAAAAAACAAAACAACTAAGAGATATCATCTCACCCCAGCAACAATAGAAAGTTCAACAGGGAAGTAAACAACAAATGCTGGTGAGGCTGTGGGGAGCATGGAATTTTAAACACTGCTGGTTGGAATGCAAAATGGTACAATCACTGTGTAAGGTGTTCTGGCACTTTCTCAGATTTGACCCAGAAATTCCACTGCTGGAAATGTACCCTAAAGAAACCAGAGCCACAACTCAAATAGATGTATCCACACCCATGTTTACTGCTGCATTATTCACAATAGCAAGGATATGGAAGCAATCCAAGTGCCCAACTATACACAAGTGGATAGGAAAACTATGGTACATCCACATAATGAAATATTACAAAGCACTGAAAAACAATGAAATAGTAAAACATTACAGAGCACAGGAGAGCCTTGAGGATATTAAGCTAAGTGAAATATCTCAGTCACAAAAGGATAAACATTGCATAACACTACCATTATAAAATAGGACAGACATGGGGGGGATTGGAGAGAGAATGGGTAAAGAGTGGATAGATAATGAACACTGCATTAGAACAGATAAGAGGAAAAATTGTTTAAAAGGATTATACAATTATGCATTATATTTATGAGAACAATATGGAATGGGGGTGTTCTGCAGGATGGCCTAGGAGGGGGAACGGAAACAGGGAGAAAATATGCAACAGTGAATAAATAAAAGAGAAAAAAAATTTTTTAAAAGAGTTGTATTTAAAAAAATAATAAAGCATGAGCAAATAGGTTTCTGTTTGCTAAAGCCACCCACTGTGGTATTTCTGTTACAGCAGCACTGGGAAATAAAGTCAGATGGAGATGCCCCGTGTCACGGACATTCACTGGACGTCACAGACAGTCCTTCTCTTACCTTTGCTAGTGTGTCCACCACGGTCACCAGCGGCAGCTTTGCAGGGTATTTGGCCATGTCCCATTCAAAATGTGTCAAAAAAGATGTTAAGTCCACTAGAACATAAATAAGAACACAGAACATTTCAACAAATAAGCAGGATTTTTAAGGATTCTCCTTAAACCAAATGTGAAATAAAAGTCATAGTTTATGCCAAGAAAGCAACTGGTGGGCAGACTCTAGGGTCTGGGAAAGCAAATATTACCTATGGAGCTGAGAGTTCTGGGCAAACTGTCTGTCAGCCAGAAATATCAACAGCACCTAAAAACCCTCTGAAAAACACACAGGACATTATAAGAGCACTGAAATTATGCTAGGAGAATGTAAAGGTACATTCACCACTACTCTGGCTGACCTGACAACAACTAATGACTATAACTGTAAGATAAAAAGGTCCCTATATTCCTTGGAGAGGGATATAATGCTTGGAAAAGTTAAGGGTTGGTGAAAGAGAGGAAGACTTTCAACCAGATGGACTGACACAGTGTCTACAGAAAGGGGCTCGAAGGTGTCAGAGAGGGTGAGGATGGAACAGGATAGAACAGGGTTCAGACCTCTTGTTCATAGGGTTGCTATGAGTCATCCTCAGCTCGATGGCACCTAACAACGACATAGGTTGGCAGCTGTACTGTGGAAGACAGGCCTGGCAATCTACCTCTGATAAGACTTGTTGTTGTTATGTGCCGTTGAGTTACCTGAGACTCGTAGCAAACCTATGTACAACAGCCCTAAACCCTGCTCTATCCCATGCCAGTCTTATTGTCTCTGACACATCTACCACATTACTCCAGTCACTAACTCAATCCATCTCATAGAGGGTCTTCCTCTCCTCTGCTGTCTCTCCACCCTCCCAAGCATGACGTCCCTCTCCAAGGACTGGTTCCTCCTTGCAACACGCCAAAAATATGTCAGACGAAGCTTCAGAATCCTTGCCTCCAAGGAGCAGCCTGGTTTAAGCCTCTCCAGGAAAAACCTGTTCGTTCTATTAGCAGACCATGGTCTATTCAATACTTTTCTCTAGCACCACACCTCAAAGGCATCAATTCTCCTTCTATCATTGCCAGTCATTAGACAAGAAAACTGTGTGGCCCAGCTCTATTCTATAACACCTGAGACCACCATGAGCTGGAATTGACTCAATAGCAAACAATGATAGCAATACTAGGAGAAAAATGGGCAGGGAGAAAAAGAGGACCGAAGGAAAGTATACTTTGGGTGCAATTTTTCTCTAGACTTAAAACTGTTCTAAAAGAAGTAAAATTTTGTTTTGTTGGTTTTTGGTTTGTTTTTTTTTTAAAAAATCTCCATCAATAGAAAGGACACTGGAACAGATGTATTTCTGTTGCCAAAACCTCCATTTTGATGACTTACACCCTAGAGATCTGCCACAAGATTCTGCTTCTCTAGGAAAGGGAAGCAAAGTTGGAGGGTGGAAAAAAAAAGTTGGAGGGTGGGCAACAAGGATGAATGGAAATGGGAAACACAAGGAAGAACTGGGAAGAGTGCCAGGCTAACACTCCCTGTTCTTCAGCTGCTTTGGCTCCACTACCTGTTAGGTTGTCACGGTTTTTATAAAGACACCAAAAGCAAACCATAGAGCACACCTAATGAAGCATGCAGCCCTAAGCAGCCTTCTAACACCCTCTGTGGAGCCCCAAGTACAAGCTTCCTGAGGCCAACCAGGAGACAAGACAATCTCTAAATACAGGATCTATTTTAGAGAAGGCATCTCTGTTATCAAAAGAAAAACTAAAAAGGGAAAGGAAAATATGTGTAGTGTATGGATGTTCATTATGTGGTTTAGATGTGCATTTCCCGTGCATGGTCCTTATGTAAGAAGCCAGCTGAACAAAAGGTCTATGGTTCAAACCTACCATGGGAAAAAGATGAAGCAGTCTGTTCCCATAAAGATTTACAGCCTGAAAGCCCAATATGTCAGTTCTATTCTGTCATAGAAAGTCACTTTGAGCTGGAATCAACTCAACACCATAGTCTGTAAGTTAACTGAAAGATTGTAGCAAACTTAAGACGGTAGGAACAATGTGGAACAGAAGGGTGAGAATGGTTTTGCAACTGGAAGAATGTGGTCAGTGTCACTGAATTGCACATGTAGAAAACTGAGAACTGGAGTCTGTTCTGCTATGTCTATTCCCAACAACAAAAAAGAAATGAAAATTTAAAAAGAAAATAAAGCTTCAGAAGGAATGGTAGGGTCTATAAATTGATTAGTGATTGCCAGAGCTGGGGGGATGGGAGGTTACTTCTTAGGAGTACTGAATGTCTGTTCACAATGACAGAAAAATTGCATTAAGGGTAGGGTTGCATGTTGATTATTGTAAGTGCTATCAATAATTTGTGTACCTGAGAAAAGCTTAACTGGCAAAACCGTGGTGGTGGTGGTGGTTGTTTGCCATCGAGTCAAGCACTACTCATAACTGACCCTATGAACAAAAGACCTGAAGCCCTTCCGCAACCATTACCATTTATCAAATTTCACAGTTTCCAGAGGCATGCTGTTTAGGAAGTATATGCTACTTGCAAAAACTGTGGTAGATATGTTTATAATCAACACACACACACACACACACACACACACACACACACACACACACAGAGCTTCTGAGCCTGCTTACTATAACCAAACACCTTGTGGGATTTGATTCCGAAGTTCGAGGTAAAAAATCTAGGCTGCTAACTAAACTGACCTAGTAACCATTTTATTGCCTCTGGTCAACTCCCTAGTTTGTTGCACAGTGCCTGGGGTCCTTAACAGCTAAACAAAGTGCAACAATTGATATATATTTGTCTGGAACAAAAGAGGACAAAGAGCAGTCAGGAACAGGAGGAGGATAAGGGAGATGTGGTTAATTTTGTTTATGAACAACTGCCTCCTTTGATTAGAACTGGATGATACCTGGTTATTACAATTGTGTTTTTATCAAGGATTCCATATTGAAGAATTTTTATCAAAGGGGGGGAAATGAAAAACAGTATTTCAAATTCTCATGGATTCCAGGCTTCCTGAAACTATGAAGTCTGGATAAATCCCTGAAACTACTGCTCTGAGATAATCTTTAAACCTTAAGTCAATAATGCCCCTAACATCTTTTTAAAACTCTTTTTTAAAACTCAACAATAGTTTAGCTTAACTAATGAACAATGTCTGTCTTAAGAATATCACTCTTAAGCAGCAACTTGAAAGACAGGAATCTTAGAGGACAGTGAGTATAGACTAGCAGAAAAGGAATCATTTGGAAAAAGAATAGTTGCAAGAGAAAAATATAATCCGAAGAACGTAATCAATGCCACTTTACCTGGTATTGCTCTATCATGTATATGCTAACAACAAGAAGCAAGTTTGGGGTTTTTTAATTTTATACTGGTTTGTTTTTCACACTGGATCTTTCCCCCATCCCTCCCTCCACCCATCAAATTGTGTGACCCTATGATTAAGCCCCATCCCCTCCTTGAATCCTCATACTCATTCTACAATAACGATCTTGTACAGTATTTGTCCTTATGAGACTGAGATAATTAGTGAACAATGCTCTCCAGTCCCTTCCATATTACGTAGTCAAAAAGTTCTTTTTAAAAGAAAGGTTTATTCATACAAAAAGTTGCCTCTGGGTCTTCCTGGCTAACTTACCCAGATGCAGGGTGGAGGAAACAATCCCGAGGTTGGGGCCAGACATGTGAGACACTGAATAATACCACCTGTGTTGCTTCTAAGCTCCTGGACACTGAGCAAGTTAGCAACAGCACCTCTGTGAACCTCTTTTCATACCTGAGAGTGAGGGCATGAAAATGCACACCTTAAAGGGGTCTGCCCTTTTTAGACTAACTCTATGAATGTTTGAAGAGTTTTATGTGTGATCCTGGGACCTCTGGTGGCTTGGTGGGTAAGGACTTGCCCTGCTAACTCAAAGGCAGATGGTTCAAATCTACCTGCTTCTCCATGAGAGAAAGATGGGTAATCTCCCGTGCAATGCACAGGCTCTGGAAACCCTCTGGAGGATCAGCCATGTGTTGGTGCTGACTCAATGGTCATGAGTTTGAGCCTTTTTTGAAGTGTGGGTCAGCTGCTGACTACTCACAGTGTGTAATAAGTCATCTGCTTTGGCTGGCAAATCTGTACATTATGCAGTATGCCAAGATTTCTTTAAGAAGTCATTTCCTGTAGTGGCAATCTACTGTGAAATCAGTACTGGAAACCCTATAGAGTATCAATCTACTTTGGAGTCTTTACTCAGTTCCAGCTTGACAACAGTTGGTTAAATGGTGGTAAAGAAGGAAATTCAGTACATTTCCATGCTAATAACCTAGAATGCCTCTAACTGTAGTGAAACTGGCCTTTCCACACTTGGCTTTCTCAGTCTAGTATATATATATATATATAATGGCATACCCTTCTACCTGTGAAGGATATGCTCATTATTCACTTTCTTAATTGTGACCTGAGTGAATGTTTACAGAGCAAACTGGTTTTTCATTCAACCATTCATGCACATTTCATTTAACAGCATTAATTATAACATCCACATTAGAACTGCACTCTTCCAGAATGCTACCTATGGTTCTTGTTTCCCTTCTGCCCTATTCCTTGCTGCCTTTTAAGCTTCTTCCTTGGACAAATGCTGTCCTTTTGATCTTGTTTGGTTCTTGTTCTCAGTGAATCTTCCTGGAGTTACTTGTTCACTGTAATAGGTCTACTATTGTTTGGCTGAAGGCCATTTTCAGGAGTTAGTTTAGTCCAGACTCAAAGTGTGCTTAGGGAGCATATTCCCAAAGGTTCCACCAGTCTCTATCAAATCAGCAATTCTGGCCATTTTTATGACTTTGAAGCTCGTTCTTACATTTCCCCCCACTCTGTCCAGGGCATTCTACTGTGATCTTTTAGAGTAAGTCAGTCAGTGGTGGAAGCTAGGCACCATCTAGTCTCAGGGGATGGAGGTTCTCATGGTCCATTATATTTGATTATCTTTACTCTACCTCATTCCAGACAGAGGAAAAATCAAAGCTGAACTGTAGATAGCCATTCACAAGCTTCCAAGACCCC